AGAACTTACCCATCTAACCCATTAAGTACCAGGAAAGTTTATACTTAGAATTTTATAGTGTAATTTTCAGAAAGATCTTATTTTAAAACTAGCTCAATAATTACATTTCAACAGATGGACCAATTACCAATTGTTTGTCGTAATAGTCAGTTGCACCTTAGTATGGCAGAAACTGAAAGATATACCCCCTATACGAGGAAAAGGCCCATTGGTCATAACCGAAACGTATTGGTTTGTTACGAGTAAATATTTTAGCAGAATGTCGACCGAAGTATGGTACCATGGTTTCATCGATTGCTAAATGCTCCGCCCAGACACTAAATTGTATGTAATTTCATTTAGCATTTTGAACAATGACCGCACTTTTGCAAATTTATTAGCCATTGACACGTGATTTCGACCACGGGAAGATATTATATTGTTTAACGTACGATTAATATTGCAAACGCTAGATTATCTTCGCATTTAATCTGCGTTATTTATGATTTTTTGAGGGAAAAAAAGTACCCGAAATATGATGCTTCAAATAGAAACAATATATAGAGTCAATATTTTTTATTTATTTAAATTACAGGCTAATATGTTAAGTAAACCAAATCCCTAAAAATTATATCTTCTGTTAGTTATTTTCTCTTCAATAAGTCCGATAAAGTGTAAATTTGAAACTATTTACCTTATTCGACTTTATCAAAAAACTAGAGAAAAAATTATAGAAATACCTTAGATTTTTAAAGAAACTTCATTTTTGAATTTTTTTAATATTAAATTATGCATTAAAAATAAAATTTTTAGTTTTTAAATTTAATACAACATTTTTGGCTCAGTTTATTCCAACCCTTTTCGACCTCAAAATTTTCGGTTTACCTTTTGGCTTCAAATTTTTGCCTTTACAATATCACTTCCATTTCCACAGTCTACAAGAAGTGCAAGATTTGTAGCCATTCAAATTAAAGTTCTGGCTCTTCTAAATTACCGGATATATTTTTAGTTTTAAGTCTTTCAATTACGACAATAAAATTGACGTGAGTTGGTAGAAACTGTAAAAAACCACTCATTGAAGGGTGAGAATACTCATAATGATGTTTTTGAAATATAAATCTACTAACCAACAAATATACTAACTACAAAATCTTACAGTTGTAGGTATGTCAGGAATGGCCTTTGGCCTATCAATTTAATTGGTTGGTTTAAAAGCTAATGGACGACTTGAGCAATGATGATGGAATCAATGTGGGAGAAGACTCCGATGACGATTTAAATAATGAAACCATCTTTCGTTCTCGTAGCGACGAAGTTTTTAAATCATTAAATGAATTGAGAGAGAAAAATCAATTATGTGATGCTGTTATAATAGTATCAGATGAGAAATACAATGTACATCGACCTATCATGAGTGCATGTAGTACGTACTTCAGGTAATCATCTTTATTTGAATTATTCTTAGAGTTTATTGTTACTTTGCTAGCATAAGTCTTAAATATTCAAAACATGATCATTTTCAATACTAGAGTTGGTACTTGAAAATTTTTGTAACTTCCTACATACCTCGTATCCACATAAAAGACAAGTGTTTTTAAAAAACATGATTTTGCTATGTTACAGATATATAGATTGTTAGTGAGTCGTTCATTTTTGTTAGAAATTTTACAAATCATTCATTTTGTCATATATTCATATATTCATATGACAAAATGATCGTTGTATGTGCATAAACACCTTCCATTCCTAAAATCAAAAGCGTATGTGTTCATATTTTAAATAATGAGCTTAGTACAGGTGGTATTTTTAACAAGTGGGGTAATTTAGTCCATCTTAGATAGAGTGCTAATAGTTTATGTATATGTACGCAATACATATTGCACCAAGAGATCTTATTTAGGCTATACCATTTGGTTTAGCAGAAGCAAGGTTAGGGAAATATATGTCAATTCTAGCCAAAATTTGGCAGTTTTTGGGATATGTTCACCCAAAAAATAAAAAAATTCAATCATGACACATGCTATGGATAGATAGATGATGACAACAGCTTTAGTGAACTTTATAAAAAATATTTGAAGGATTAGTTAAAACTGAAAATAATAGGACATTAGTCTGTGGATTCATGTTACTCTGTTTTACTTAGTCTACTCTATTCTTTCGATTCTTTAGATTTGCAACGTCTGCCATAACTTATAAACTCAAATTATCTGATTTAAATGTAGTCTTTGTTTCAGAGCCCTACACAACAAGCTTCCATAAATTCAATAATTAACAGAATTTCTAATAAAACTCTAGTAAATACTTAAAAAGTGTCTTAAGTTTTTTATCACTATTTCCACCAGGGATCCCGTTATAACCTAACATATATCACTATTCACTTTTTGCTTCCGCTGCCTTCAAATCCCTATTAATCACAATATTCTAACCTATGACCAAACGTAGGATATTCAAATGCCAAGACAAAGATTTCGAAAAATTTAAATAATTTTTACCTCCGAAAATATTTTTTATAAAAAACAATTGAATGGCATTTTGAATTCCTCTCTTTTTTTACTCTCTCCCTTCTTTAAAAACGTTTGAATTGTAGTCTTTAAATGGAGGATTTTCCTTTCTAACAATTTTAAACATATAAAATTTATTGTTTGCTTAGTTTCCTCAAATTTTTTCAAATTTATATTTCTACAAAGTATTTAAGAAAACTAGATTGAACAAATAAAAAACAATCGACTTGCTTTCACTAAGTATGTTAACTAACTTAGTGAATAGTCTAAAAACATTTGTCTTTGTATCGTTTCCAGCGTCGTTGTCCTAAAGGATCTTTCATTTTCCGACCATACTACATTTATGTATCCAGAGGGTACAAAAAAGGGTCAAAGATTATTTCCAACACTTTTCGACCAGATACACTCTGTTTATGGTCTTTCGAGGATGGAGACGTAATACTTATTTGGACAGCAATCCACTTTCTGCAAAAACTATTACACTCTGTTAGCTGCATTTAACACATTTAAATAGATGTCGAGAGAATTATGAAGAAATGTCTTGTGCCATTAGCCTTTACTTTATCGATTGTTCCGGTCCATTAACTTCCTAATTTCTTCGATAGCATCAAACATATAAAGTATTTAATTGAGAGGTAGTTAATTATTAAATTATAAAATACTAGAGAAGTAAGATAATTTTCATATTTGATTGGAAAACGGAATGTTTTAAAAAATTAGGCTTAGATTCAAATCACTCAAATTTTTATATTTATTTTTCGTCAAATTGAAATATTTATAGACAATGATAATAGATAGTTCTGAACTTTTTTAGTTATATAAATTTGCTAAAACCTTAGTTTCACTTCCTATTAGTTTCATTCTGATCGCACTGATAACATTTAACTTGACATCAGAAAAGAAGACCGGATTTACAGTGGATATATATAGTCATATATAGACTGTACACTGAAAAGAACTCTGAAAGTTCATCATACCTTTACAGTATTTTTATAAAGGGTTCCACATATACGTGGTGTGATCAAAAAGTAGCGGGAGTTTATTATACCTTTAGAAAATGTTAACTTAGTTCTCAATTTTTATCTCTCTTTCAGTAGACACGTTTTTCGGTGTATCTTTTAGTTCGCTCTTTATCATATGTTTAAATATGTTGTTCTTTAAATTTTTTTAAATTTGGAAGAAAGTAAAAAATTACAGTACAACATGTCGGTATAATAGGATGCTTGTGACACCCTTTCCTAATGCCATGTTTCGCAACATAGTTTAGTTTGTTAGTTCAGCAAAGCAGGATTCAATGGTTTCCTAACAAATCTGGCTGTCATTCTTTTCACGCCCAAAACATTCCTAATAATCATTTGACCCATACTATTGTCGCTATTTCTTAAGACAGCTTTGTAATTTTAGTTTATCTACAACGTTAGGCGATTAAAGTGTTACCTATTGAAGCGACCATATCTTTCAATTTTAATATCTTTTAAATTTCGATTTAAGTTCCCAAATCCACAGTTTCCCATTTCACTTTATCATTTGAAACAAATTTGTTTCCCTAGCGCCATCTTTGGAAACAGGTAATAGTCACTGGGAACCATCCACCATATAGTATGGTAGATGAGGAAACAATTCGCACCGCAACGGTGCACTATAATACAACTATAATATTAAAAAACATAATATCACTTTTATAAGGTACTTGCTTATATATTTTCGCCTATAGTGAATAGCAATAGTGTCTTATGCTCCTTATTGTTAAATACCGAGTACCATTATATTTTGTTTTGATTAAACTAAAGTCTGTAGACTAGGAGCTAATATTAACAAAACCAAAACTTCTAGCTATCACTAAAAATACAAAATAGTATAGTTTATCTTGACTATGTATAAAAATATTTCACTTAAACTATTACTATCAATACTTAAAAACTACCATCGATTCAATATTAAGGTAAAAAGTAAATACAGCTAAAGACGTTAGGGAAGGAAGACTAGTATATCTTCATTTTCACTGCGGTGAAAAATCCATAAAATATATCTCACTATATATTTATTCAGCTGTAGTTGACACAGTCCTTCTATATAAATAATTCTTATGGTAATCTATCTTAAATAATACGTATAAAAACAATAGTTTTAATAAAACAAACGATTTTCATTTATCCTGGTCTATTGATTAGCAACAGACCAAGGGGCATATTATGATTGCAGTCACGTCACACAGTGTTGTTGCTTTCAATTTTAAATCATGTGAGCCTGTCAGTGTCGACATATCAATTTTTTACTGTATTATTTAGAAATATTTTACTATATTTAGAATTTAGAATTATAAAATGTTGTTATATTACTAAAAGTTTCAAATTCTTTCTAAATAAGTGATAAAACAAAGTGGAAACCCAACTCTGCTTCCAAGTATAATTTGTATTAAAATAAAATAATTGCATAAAAATGGAATTACCTTCAAAGAAAGAAAACTTTAAAAGTGAATGAGAATTAAAAATTCAGTTATAAGTTGGAACAGTGTTAAGACTTATCATACCTATAATTGAATTTATAATTCTCAATAACTTCTCTTATATTTTTAATATAAGTTTGTATGAAAATTTTCTTCCGATATAATTAAGTTTAATGTAAATTCTGTTTAAAAGTAAAGATTGAAGTAGTTAATTTGCTATTTTTGGAAAGAATATTGTAAATAAATTCTATAAATGAAGTTTATGTTTCCAAAAAGAAATTATGTAATGAAATTTTGATTATATGTTATACCGATATTTATTATTATATTCCTTCTTATTCAGCAATAAGGGGGGAAAACAAAGCAATACATTGCTGAGCGTTTCCAGCAATCGCTTTTAAAATTTTTCATTTCGCCTATGGAAAATAAAGATAAATGTCGACATAATTAAATTAATATCTTTATCAATATCATTGTTGTGTTATAATGGACCCATGGTTGCCATTTGAAAACTTTTTTCTCTACCAAAATTGGTTAAAAAATATACCATTTTTGTAAAAAAGGACCCAATTCTTTTTCTATTTTCTTTTAATAAGAAAATGCAATATTAACATTTAACTTGACATCAGAAAAGAAGACCGGATTTACAGTGGATATATATAGTCATATATAGACTGTACACTGAAAAGAACTCTGAAAGTTCATCATACCTTTACAGTATTTTTATAAAGGGTTCCACATATACGTGGTGTGATCAAAAAGTAGCGGGAGTTTATTATACCTTTAGAAAATGTTAACTTAGTTCTCAATTTTTATCTCTCTTTCAGTAGACACGTTTTTCGGTGTATCTTTTAGTTCGCTCTTTATCATATGTTTAAATATGTTGTTCTTTAAATTTTTTTAAATTTGGAAGAAAGTAAAAAATTACAGTACAACATGTCGGTATAATAGGATGCTTGTGACACCCTTTCCTAATGCCATGTTTCGCAACATAGTTTAGTTTGTTAGTTCAGCAAAGCAGGATTCAATGGTTTCCTAACAAATCTGGCTGTCATTCTTTTCACGCCCAAAACATTCCTAATAATCATTTGACCCATACTATTGTCGCTATTTCTTAAGACAGCTTTGTAATTTTAGTTTATCTACAACGTTAGGCGATTAAAGTGTTACCTATTGAAGCGACCATATCTATTTGGTGTGAAATTATTTTTTATTAATTCAAATTACAAAAATTTGTTGAAATAATCAAAATTTCAGAATGCATTCACTATAGCTCGATGTGGTCACCTTATGCCTTGACAATGGCCTTCAAACGGTGAGTTGCATGCTTCGTGAGTGTGTTCCTCTGGAATCTTGACCTATTTTTGAAAAATGGCTTATTTCAGCGCATCTGTACTATCATATTTTTTAGTCACCACCTTGTTCTCAAAAATAACTCAGATGAAATAATCCAGTGGATTTGCATCCGACGAATTCGAAAGGCCTTTGTGTGGACGAAATTAAGTGTGCAACGACTTTGTAACAGTAAAGATGCTGTAAAGTTTGCAAAGTCGCAGCGCTTGAGATGGATAGGACACACCATCAAAATGCCGGATAATAGACCACAAAAGTGAATACAGTTAAAGCTCACCCCGAGCTGTTACGCTGATGATGATAAAGGCCAAGTACTAATATCCATTTCGCATAAAAAATTGACTATAATATCATGTGAAGCTTATGTGGGGAAATACTTAACGGAAATATATTATTTATATATAATTTATTCATAGATATATTTTTTATGTAGTTTTTATATTCGTTTGAGCGTTATTAAAGCTTTAACAAGCCAAAAGATAAATTTTTTTAAGGAAGTTTGTGGTCTCCTCATAGTCTATTTAAAGATTTTAGTCCTTTCATAGTCCATTTGTAGAATCTAACGTAAAACGCAAAAACTTATTTCTGGAAGAATAGCTTTGGTTTCTGATATTTGCTAAAATGGTTTTAATACAAAATCTATTTGTCTGTTTTTTTTTTTTTGTGATTTTTATACCAATCAATGTATTTACATGCCTCAGGTGCTTGAAAAAAATAGAAAATAAAAACGAAAGGTTCAATTTCGATTGAAAGTTTTGTTTAATTTGAAGTACAAAGTTTATGTTTTCCATTATTTTTGTTTCAAAAGTTGATTCAATTTTCAATTTTGCTGTTTTTAGGGCTCAATTTACTGGTTTCAATAGTGGCATATCGGAATATGACAAGGAAGTGAGCCGAAGAGTATGCATTCCTGGAATGAGTGCAGCTATTATGGAGCAATTAATTAACTACGCCTATCTTAGACGATGCCAAATAACAGAAGATAATGTCCATGAATTATTGGTATCTGCTGATTATTTGGGAATGATGGGCCTTGTGAAGCTTTGCGAAAGAAAAATGACAAAAATGCTGTCACCAATAAATTGCGTCGATATTATGAGTTTTGCTAGGTGAGTTTATGAAATAATCAAATATTTAAGCCATTTTTCTTATGGAGTAGGTTGAAAAGCACGAACATCAATCTATTGTACCTAAGCCAAATGCTGAATGGATTAATTTTTTAATAACCACATACAAATTTATAGCTTAATTAACATTGTGGGTTTCTAAGTCAAGTGCATGCAGCAGAGATTTCATCTGAATTGTATTTAATCGCAACCACTAACGTATTACCTCACAGTACATTTTCTTTTCGTCCTTCAAACACTCAGCCTACTTTTGACGACGGTGTCTCCTTTTTCCATCATAATTCCTCTTAAATAATTTTTTTTTAATTACTTTCTACTCAAAGCTATTTCATTTCTGTTATACTCGCAGGTTTCGTTTTCTTGACGCTTTATATGACAAAGCACGTATGTATATGTTACGTTACTTTCCAGAAGTTGCGTTAAAAAATGAGGACATAATGGAAATCGGATTAAAGGATTTCTATGAGATCATAAGCGATGATGAATTGAACACACGGGAGGAAGATAGTGTATGGAAATTATGCATTAAATGGATTGACTATGATCCCGTCAATAGAAAAAAACATGTGGCAGACTTAATGCAGGGTGTGCGTTTGGGTTTAATGACACCGAAGGTGAGTATTAAATTGGAGCACTTCAATAAATTTTTAAACATTAGAAGTATTTTAAAGAAAATTAGAAACACAATTTAATTTCCCAATCAGGTTCAATCAGGTTATTTTATTATATTCAATATTTAACAGAGCTTCTCTTCGTTTAAATAAAGCAGATATGGAATACTTTTCATAATATGCTTCTTAGAGATTAGAGTTGTATCGAGTTTTTTATTTGAAGAAGGGCAGTTATAGGTGTTTGCCATTTATTGGTTCAATTTAAAAATCAATCACTATCATCACTATAATTTAAGTAGTATGTTAATTTCAATAACTGAAAATAAAATAAATATTCAAAAAGTATTATTATAAAATGTATTTGGCGATTTGTTTGGATCACAATTTTCCAATTTTCAGGCAAT